TATATTATTTTCTCAGCACCTGTAATTTAGACAGATAAGGAAACCTTAATTTTCAGATTTCTAAAAATTTTCATTAATTACTGCAGACTTATAGTTGAAGAAATATGGCATTGTTAGGAACATGTCACAGGGCTTGCACTAAATTTGCAAGACCTTAAGAGTTGGGTTTGTCAGGCTTCCTTTGTTTAGACTTTTCTGTGCTAGCCCTAAAGCTCTGTTCTAGCAGTAACTGTCAAACAATCAGATAACTGTCACTTAATCTGTTTCCAATTTAGCTTAGCCTTCTAAGATTGTGTGCTGTAAAACGTATAATTAAAATGCTCATGCATTGTTCTATCTAACAGACAGTAACAGCAAATAGCTGTTCTGTACAGAATAAACAATCCATGACCCCAGATTAAAAATGCAGCAAAGAGGATCATGGCATAACAATCTTCAAGAAGTATCCAGCAAATGTAAAACATATAAAGCACATTCAGATGTAATATGGACATGTAAACCAGTGAAGAACCAATAAGGTGTAGACTATGCTAGAACACATTAAAAATAGCTGCAAGTAGACACAGAGTGAATAGAGACCCCCACCACCCATCATACTTGTCCAGACATAACACCTGTGACAGTGCTAAATTGCTGCAACTCTCTGTAACTCATTCTCAGACAGAAGCCATTCACCTTAGTATGCAGAACGGTAGTAAAAGGGTACAGAAGGGTAGTAAAAGGGTACTATTAAGTACTAGGAAAATAACAACTTTAACTATATTAGTAATAATAATCTTTTTGACAGTTCAGATTTCAATTAAGAGTACTGTGGTGGGTTGATCCTGGCTGGATGCCAGGTACCCAGTGAAGCCTCTCTCTCACTCCCCTCCACAACTGGACAGAGGAGAGAGAAAAAAAAAAACAACTAAGGATTCCTGAGTCGAGATAAGAGCTGGGAGAGCTCAGTTACTGATCCCCATCAGGGGCAAAACATACTCAAAGTGGGGATATTAACTGAATTTATTACTAACAGGGTCAGAGCAAAAGAGTGAGAAGTAAAATAATCTTAAAAACGAGTTCCCCCATCCCTCCTTCCTTCCAAGTTCTACCTCCTCCTCCCCAGTGGTGCAGGGGGACGGGGAATGGGGGTTATGGTCAGTTGTTTCTGTCGCTGCTCAGAGTGAGGAGTTCTTCCCCTGCTCCCATGGGTCCACGGGCAACAATTGTTCACAAAACTGCTGCAACACAGGTCACTCTTCCACGGGGTGCAGCCCTTCTGGAATAAGCTGCTCCAGCATGGGTCCCCCACACAGCCAGAAGTCCTACCAGGGAAAAAACTACTTCAGCGTGGACTCGTCTCTCCATGGGCTCTCCTGGCAGGTCCCTCTGTTCCATCTTGGGCCTCCCACAGGGTCACAGCCTCCTTCGAGCATCCATCTGCTCTGGTGTGGGTCTCCTCCATGGGCTGCAGGTGGGTCTCTGCACCCCGATGTTCCTCCATGGGCTGCAGGGGCACAGCTGCTCCACCCCGATCTGCACCACAGGCTGCAGGGCCTCAGCTCCAGCTCCTGGAGCACCTCCTGCCCCTCCTTCTGCACTGACCTTGGTGTCTGCATTGTTGTTGACATGTTCTCACTCTGCTCTTCCCTGGCTGCAATTTTCACCTGTGTAATAACTTTCTTTCCATTCCTAAATATGTTATCACAGAGGTCTTACTATCACTCCTGATTGGCTTGTCCTTGGCCAGCGGCAGGAAGCCATCCTGGAGCTGGCTGGCATTGGCTCCACCAGACACAGGGTAAGCTGCTAGCAGCTTCTAACAGAAGCTAGCCCTGTAGCCTCCCCCGCTACCAAAACCCAGACACAGAAACCCAATACAAGTAATAATAAATTCTTGGGTGTGCATACACAGCGTGTCTGGCCAATATAAACCACACAAACTGTTGTAGAACAAATTTGTAAAGAATGAGGTTTCAATGCAATTGCAATTCTTGGACAATCCCAGCAATTAAAGCCCCCTTTGTCACATCAGAATTAGCAGTTACATGGCTATAGTTGATTAATACATCACAATCTGTGTAGGAAGAAAGTTTATGTCTGATATGTGGAACCAACTGGCTTCTTACTATAGGTGCAGCCATAATAGTCTTAATATATTTTAAACAGCCAGGTAAGCCTGAACCTGTCACGGTAACAACAATGCATTTTTGTTTCAGGATAGAGTGACATGCTTGGCAAGCAAAACTGGTGTTAACTAGAGGCAAATGCAGATAATATAGTTCAAATATTCTCATATCATACAATGTATGTGACAAGTTGGGAGTTACATCCCTTGTATTATCATATTGCCTTCAACTATAATAAAATCAAATAACTTTTAAGTAGAGACAAATCATGATACAAAATGCGTGGGAAGAACTGTGTCACAAGAATACAACAGTTACACATGACAAAGATCGTGAAACCTGACAAAATTCTTACTTCTATAATGAAAAGAATCAGGTAACTTTCTCCTCATAGATATTCTAACTGTATTCTTTGTTGCTATTGCATATGGATTTAAATCAATGCTGTTTTGCAAGTGACTTATTTTAAAATGAAGGATAATTCTTTCATAAAATCATAGAATGGTTTGGGTTGGAAGGGACCTTAAAGATCATCTAGTCCAGCCCCCATGCCACAGGCAGGGACACCTTCCACTAGACCAGGTTGCTCAGAGCCCCAACCAACCCGGTCTCGAACACTTCTGGGAATGGGGTATCACAGCTTCTCTGGACAACCTGTTCCTGTGCCTCACCACCCACTGAGCAAAGATTTTCTTCCTAATACCTGATCAAATCTAATCTAGATCTCTCCTCTTTTAGTTTAAAACTGTTCCCCCTTGTCCTATCACTATCTGTCCACATAGGAAGTCCCTCTCCCTCCTACTTGTAAGCTCCCTTAAAGGGATTGGAAGGTCACAATAAAGTCTCTCAGCCTGGGTTCATAGGAGAGATGCTCCAGCCCGCTGGTCATCTTTGTGGCCTCCTCTGAACCTGCTGTAACAGCTCCAGGTCTTTCTTATCCCGAGGACTCCAGAACTGGACATAGCACTCCATGTGGGCAGAGTAGTACAGACATGCTGTAACATTTATTTCAGAGATGTCTGTACACTGAATTAATGTCTTCACCTTAACTATGGGTTGCGGACTTCTTATTCCATTGTTAAAGCAGTACTGTTACTTGATATATTATGGAAGTGTCCTATATCTGATTTTGAGTTAGAATTAAGATTTTGATTTAGCACAGTCATAAAATATATCAAACATATAATCATAGGAAGACAACACAAAATCTGGAGTATAAAAGCATATGGGAAATGTGCTTCGCAATACATATAATATAATACATATTCTCCACCAATAAAAATACAATCTTTAGAATATTCCTAAAAGTATTGAACAACAAATTGACTGTCCACAGTTGCTGCTCACGACAACATGAGTAAAATCTTCTATAGGAGGTAAAGACAATCTAGATTAGGCTCACATGCTGAGGAGAGCTTTCTTCTCTTATATCCCACTGACTGATTTTGCAGGGATTCAGACCTAGAAACACCATAAAATAATAGAAACCTGAAGATTCATAAAAAGGAGTTAGTCACATCTGCTTCTGTTTTTCCCTAGGACTGTAATCAGTAATGTAGTACGCTTCCTATAAACTGCCAAAAGTGCCATAGCGCACAGAAGAATTTTAAAGTAATAAATGAAAAGAGAAGCTTGAAAAAGAGGTTATTTAACAATGCCCTCGTTTGGAGGCTAACAGCAGACTGTCATGGTCGCAACGAAGTTATGATGGCACTGAGTGCTGCTGTATGGGTCTGCTGGTTTTGGCTGGGGAACAATACTTTCTTCATAGTAGATAGTATCAATGATGTTTGTAGCACAAGTCCAAAACACAAGCCTGTACTATCTACCATGAAAAAAATTAATCTATCCCAGACAAAACCAGTACAACAGGGAAATCTTATACATATTTAAAATACATTGTTTAGAATTTGCAAGTGAGAAGAAAATGGACAAGACAATACATAAAAAACTAATTCACTGAAATGAGCTAGTAGAAATGACCAAAGAATGCTGTCAGTGTTAACATCATAAGTCTCTGATCCAAATAATACTGCTCTTTCGGACCACTTTTGGATTACCATCAACAAATAAGTACACCTTCAGACACTAAAAAAACTTTCCAAACTGTACTTCTTTTAAAGCCAGTTACACAGCAAACATGAAAAATGAAAACTGAGGTAGAGAAGCTCCTTCCTAAGCAACACAATCCTATTTTGAAGTTTGAGCCAACTTGAAAACTGGTGCTGCTCCAAGTCAGAGATTAGACTAGGTAACATCCAGAGGTCCCATCAAATCTAGGTTATTTTTTTCTATCTTTCTAAGCTTGTGTATTAAAGAAGCTTGATGATAGAAAAGCATGTTCACGGCAGTAGGAAATGCACAACTGTGCAGAAAAGAGGTTGAAGAAGCACCTTCCTCTGCTTCTCCTCATTCCTTTGGGAAAAAATGCTCATCTCATTTTATGAAACACAGGAATGAAATTACATTACTACTTTCTTTAGATAATAACTACCGCTATTGCACCTTTATATCATTTGCCACCAGGATTGCAGCCAGGAAGACACAAGGCCCTGCCTTCTGTCCTGAGGACAGAAGTTACACAATACATCTTTTGGACAGAACTTACCCATGAACTAGACACTTTCACAAACAACACTATGCTGTACAGGTAATTTCAGATAAGTGCAACTAAAACAATCACAAGAATTCTATTTATACAAACCTTCTGCCTTAATAAAGACAGTGTGAATTCAGTTTTTCATCCAAAAAACTACTCTGACATTAGGAGAACTTTGATTGAATAATTTTTCTTTCCAACTCAATATACAGTAGTTGATAGAATCTGACTGGAAATATGTATTTAACTTCACATTTTAATAAACATTCAAATTCTGAACACTGCCAACTTACATAGCTCCATTAGTGTAGACTGTGTCACTTCCCTCCACATACTGAACCTGGGCTGGGTAGACATGCTGTACCTGTTGCACAGTCTGCACTTGCTGTACCTGAAAACAAGAAAACCAGAAGTTTGGGATATCATAAAGAAGGACCAATGTTTCAGTGCACCTAACGGCTTCTAATCAATATGGGATATCTCTGCACTCGTAATTACTAAAGGTATATCAAAGCACTAGCAAAGAAAGTTACTGTTTCTACATAATATTTGTGCTGTAAGTTTGGTAAATGGAGCCCTAACATTGAAGATGCACATTCATGGAGCATACATATCTTCGGTGCCAAAGACATAACTAATCGGAGAACATAAGGATGAAATGAAGTGTAACTATGTTTGGCACCAAGCTGAAAAATCACATTTACTACAGAAGAAAGTATAATTTGGTCATATTTATGTTTTTTCTTATTCCATTTCAGTCCTAAGTAACACAAGCCTTAAAATCCCAGCTCAAATGTGTTGCAGTAAGTTTAGTAATAAAAGTTCACATTAAGATGCTTTAGCTCTTGTTTAATGAGTTAAATTACAGTGATGCAAGTTTTTTTCCCAATAGTGCTTTGACCCACTGTACAATTATGGACCAAAACCCCTAGTCTGAGTAACCCCTTTCCTGGAATATAATCAGCTATAACAAACTCCAACAAAACCTGGTTTTACATCAATGAGCTAAATGACAAGAGGCAGTAAGGCATGGATTATCTTCACATATATTGCTGGGGACAGTCACACATCAATTCCTTTGATTCATATATTATGTAGAAAAGCTTCAGGTTATGCAAATTTCCTCTCAGTTTTAATTTTTTGTCTTCTGCCACAGTAAAGATGAAGAATTCCATATTTTACAGCTGCCATCATTCAGAGAAGCCATATTTTGGTCCAAGAGCACTCCAGAATCTAAAATATGCAAAAGGACTTAAGAGATTTCACAGATTGACACAATTTTACCCATGGAATCAAATAGGGAAAATGACAATGCACTTATTTAGTAAACTGATGTAATGTTAAGTGACTGTAATTTTTCTTGGATTTATTGTTATAAGGCAACTTCAGCCTAATCCACAGTGTGTTCTAAGGACTGCAAACACCATAACCTCAGATCAGTCTTGGTTTCATGCATTTGATAAAACCTCCAAGAGCTCTTTGAGAATATCCTAGTCTAATACATTCCCCTCTGGTGTTTTTTAAAAAGTTCTGTAAATAAGCATATGTTTCATATCTTTTTATAATATTGATGCTGACTGAAAGGAAATACTAGATTTTTACAGAAACCTTCCCTTAGGTTGACATTAAGACCCAAATTCTGAAACAAGAAAAAACAGTCGAAGTTTTGAATGCATATTAGCATGATGGAAAATCAGATGTTTCTGTCCATTAACAGCAATGAGACAGAACCTGCATACTGATAAAATTCTACATAATGTACAAACACAGCACTAAAACACAGAGGTCACATTCCCCTTCTGTACAAGGTATTATATTTTCCCATTATTCTTGCACGCAAGCTGCTACCATTTCAAAGATGTCAGATTGAGCACAGTGCAAGACCTTTACCACAGAACTGAAATGATATTGTAGGGATAAAGTGTATAGAGTGCATCAAAGCTCAGTGCCCATTGGACAGGAAACTGAAAAATTCCAAAATGTGTTTATCTTCTGATTTGGAATAACAACAATAAAAATATAATTTACCATAAAACAAAATATCAAAACTTGTTAAAATTACAATTTTCATTGCTTCATTTCAAATTTTTGACCAATTTTTATATAAATCAAAATAAATTATATTCTTAATTATACTACCTCACAGGGATAAATTAAATTATATTTTATCTATAAAAAAAGTTATATTTTATCTATGAAAGTCTGTCATACTGAAATGCAGAAATTACACTGAAGTATAAAACAAAATATAAGAGCAAACTTTGACTTCCAAGAAAAAGTGCTTATGTACTAAGCAAAGAGTAGAACAACAGGGCAAAATATATATATATGGATTTTTGAATTACATTTTAAAAAGTACATAAAATTATCTACTGTGTCTACACAAACAGCTTGGTTGTTCAACATTTTCTGTCCTTGGAGATAAAAATAGTTTTCGTCCTTCATTATTATGAATTACTTTTGGCAAGTAACATACAAATACAACATTCTGTAGCACTCTAAGCACATTCATATTTATATCAGGCTAATGTCAGTTCATGATTATGCTTTTCATATGCTAAACATGATTTTGCATTAAGAGCAATTTTGATTAGCAGAAGTCTGCATCTTAGTGATACAATGCTTTGAGAATGCTATAGCCACTGTGTATGTGACAAGGAAGAAACGCTTTGCCCAACTTCTAATGCATGGATACTTTTATAAAATAGCTTATATGACTATTTTTAGTTTTATTTCTCCTGTCCTTCCACACTGCATGGCATAAAATACAAAGTGAGTTTAATTTTGAATCCTTAAAAGCTTACTGCACTATGCTGAAGAGTGCCTGTTGCAAAAGCAATGATGCATTAATGAAAAATCCCTGTATTTGAGGAAACAAGACGAAGAAAATTCCTCAGGCTATTTAAACAGAATTTAATTACACTCCCACATTTTTGGTCTTACGGTTGTTGCTTTTTGCTTACCACTCCTCTCTATCTCATCTCAGGAGTGACTGCTGCTGTGTTGTATGAAACCAGCTGCCACTAATGTCACTTTTGAAAGAGGAAGAATCTAGGTTTTCATTAATGGTACCTCCTTTGTTCCTATTTTTGGAGCATCACAGCAGACTTCTACAAGCTCTGTATTCATACCAGCTATATGGAAATTAGGGATTTGTTTTAGCTGAAAATATTACAAGTTACTCTTGTGCTGTTTCCTCAAAAGACAGGATGCTTCAATATAAACACAGCTGAAGAGTAAAGGCTCTTAGTCCACCCTTCCACTTTTTCAGCTTGCACTTCCTCAGGGCAAAAATCTTTCATTTTGAAAAAGATACGTATTTTGTGTGCATAAAAGAAACACTGATGCCATGAAAACAACCCCAAATTAATGCATTTAGGAGATGTCATTTAAACACAGTCTATATACAGGAATAGAAACATGGGAAAAAAAGACCTCCCTAGGAAAAACGAAATGTTATACACTGCTTTAATATCAACTAAAAGCAAATTCATCTAAAATTGCATTATTCACTAGAAAGTACTAGTAAATTACTGCAAATGATAATACAGGTTTCAGCTTACACCAAATGTTGCATATACACACTCATGTTACAGTATCCTTTAACAAAACCCTAGAAGTGTCTTACTGCTTTTAGCAATTTATATTCAGAACATAATATAATCCAAATGTGAATATTCCCACATAATTTGGATACAGTTCATATTATTAAGCATGTCCCTTATAAACCGTAGAAAAAACAAAACCACATCTTACAGACTGTGCATCTAAAACCTTCTCTCCAGCTTTCAACATTAAACGTGCAGAAATAAAAAGCCCTTCCTGTGCCATCAAAAGAATGGCTTTATTAAAATAGCACTCTTTCTCCACATTTTCTTTCGACAAACTGGCCCATTCCTACCAAATGTACATGGAGACAGTATTAACTTTAGGCAAATGCAACCTATACACAGATAATTCCTCAAGACAAATCACACCTGCAACCCTACAATTGAAATTATCTATCACATCTACATTCTTTATCACATTTCCTGCTGGCATACCATATTCACATTTTCACTCTTTTTTTTCTCCTTACTACTCATTTTCTTCCATAATCAGGATTAGATCTCTCTATACAAATCTCCCAAACATATGTTTTAATCATTGCAATACTGTCTGCACTGGATTTCCAAACATTCTTGTTGTATCTTCAAACCCTGACTCTTTAGCTTTCCTTTCTCAAACATTATGCTAATGACACAGTCAGCATTAAAAGTCAACCAGATAAATATAATTCAATATCCCCACAGGAAAAAATATTCCAATATAATGATGGTGTATTCAATGCAAGGGAACACCCAGAAGTAGCAGTACTAAAGGAGATATATGTAAAGTTTATCAAGGGACAGCCTTACATATTCAGGTAGTACAACAAAAAATTCTGTTTGCTGTTCTTATTAAGATATAATCAAAGAAGGAAAAATCCAATCTGCTCCTGGGCTTCTATGCTTTGACATGAGCGTTACATTATTAAGGGACAACTGGAATAACTTCAGGAAAAATGTAGACAATTGGTGACAAAGATTAACGCATTATTTATGCGGGAAAATATGTTAAGGAAAGTTCCCAGGCTGACCATTCACAAGACTCTCTGGCAGTCACACTCCCAATGCCAAAGACTTTAACTCTTGGGCCTGAGGCCCCCTCACAATGGGCATCTCCAGTCAGCAAATAAGGATCCCATTCCATCATAAAAGTTTTCAAAAAAGTAGAAACTTTGCACAAGCAAATTTAACAAACCAAAGTCCTGCTCATTTTTCATTTTGCTGTGACAAAAATGCATAGAACTTGTCCTTAGAGTTCAATCAAGACAATTATTAACTGCAACACTATAAAGTATCCTATATGCCACAAACTTGTTACCTGTCTTCCATCTCTCACATTGATCAGTACTTCACAAGTTCAGTATGTAATATTAGACCATTGCACGTAAATCTTATATGCTGAAAACAAGCAACCAGGTAGCACTACCAAATTGCCCTCTTGTATCTGAAAGGTTGAATAAGAACAAGTCATATAAATTACATCTATTAAACATCTGTTATCATATAGATATCATATGATAACAACTGTTATCATTTAGAAAATAAAAAACAAACAAATCATCTAGATTGTATTTCACAAAGAAAAAAAGTCTTGCACTACACAAACCCTACAAAAGGGTTACAGATAAAATCTTCTACAAAGGCTAGCTAAGTTCATACTATAGTAATGGAACTAGGAGGCATTAGAAACTGAGTCTGTGCATCAGGAAAAAATATTAGTGAAATGTTTGAGACTCTGGAACACATACCTGAAAATGCACTGGAAACTGAGAACTCAGAAAATGTTGAAGAATTTGATTTAGAGAAAAGCATTCCACTGGCACAGAAACAAATGCCAGTATTTAATAATTTATGTCTAGTTCTTATTTTGTTGATTTTGAAACTGTAAAGTTAGTTTTTCATGAAAAACAACAGATGTCACCTACAGTACTCATCACATGGACAGCTAATTTCTGTGTATTCTGGAAAAGTCTTGGACAGCCATAATGGCTATCACACTTAGTCCCCATTTTGTACCTCCATACTTTTCCTTTTTAGCTCCCCATTTTCTTCTGCCACCACTTCTTCCAAAGCTCATGGGTGCTCCATAGGAGTGACTATTTCATGTAATAGAAGAGTGCACTGTGCTGGCTGCTACAAAAGCATTCTTCCTTCCCTGGCAAATGCACATTATGAATTACTGTTTGTCCTACCACCAATACTTTCATGACATTGTGCATAGATCTGTGGGGAGTCAAGCCTAGAGATGCAAAGGACAATGCTTTCCATTTTTACATTTGTATTGCACTTTCTTGGAAATCCAAATGGATGGAGAAATGAAACAGTCAATAATATCAGACACATATCTATTATTTAATGAAAAAAATGTAAATATTCAGTAACATACAGTACATTTCTATGAGCTACTGCATGAAGTCCATAACGAACTACAGTTAGAATTACATATGTATACTACTAGAGCTTGTCAGGGGCTCTAGTTAAGGAACAGATCCTGAAAACAGCTTGCCTTTCTCCAGCTATTTTAATTCCAGCAAAACAAAATCGATAAAAGCAGAACAAGAGTTCATTTAGCAGTCTTGTACAAAACCAAGTTCTTCACTACATTGTAAAGAACTATCATTCTGAATTTTTGTTTTTTAATTTTCCCAAAACTAACAGCCACGTACCTGTTGCTGAACTGGTACTTGCTGTACTACCTGTGTGGGCACTGCTGCCTGGCCAGCCACAGATGTCTGTAAAGTCACAGTCGAACTTGTATCCGCCCCAGTCTCTGATGTCTGCATTGTGATCTCTGAATAAAATTAAGATAAAAAATTAAAACGTTAGTACACTGATGTTTTTATTTTGTCACTTATACTAGTACACTAATTTGTCCCTTATCTCTACTTAGATTTTAAAATTATCTAACACCAATCTTGGTATCAGTCAAAATTTTTTCAACCTACTAGCATATGAGTTAGTATAAATGGGTTTTTATATTATTTTTACCTTACATTCAAAATACCTTTTGTTTAAATATGAAGAAACATATATAACTTATCTGAGTTTTGTCACTTTAGGAATAACTCAGAAAAATCAGCAGCAAATCTTCTCTCAGCTTGAAAATAATTGGTCATCATTCAAAACCATTTTTAATCTGGTTTACTGAATTACACTAAAATCTCTATAGATTCACATTCAAAGCCAAACTTCCAGGAGGCCACAGAATGAAGGGGTCTAATTCAGAAAGCCAACTCTGAAAAGCATTTAATAAGTCATAGAGAAAAAGGAACTTAAATAACCTTCAGTGGAAAGCATTAAAGCAACCACTGTATTTAAAATATGAGAAGAAACTTTTTGACACTAATATCATAGAGAAATACATACACAGTGGACAAGGGCCTATGATCATGGCCCTGACATTTAAAGGGAACAATGGAAATTTGGGTAGAACACAGAAATGGTTCAAGAATCAAGGAAAATGCCTGATAAAGAAAACTTATCAGAAAGACAACCAAGGATGACATGCTCTCATAGGAAATACAGACTGGGAGCTGCAGATTCCTGAATTTTGCACAGCACGAATGACAATACAATTGACTGGTGACAAGCCAAAATGAATTTGAAATTGTGAATCAGCCTTTCCCCCCCCCCTTTTTTTATATTTCTCTTAAGTAGTGGATGATTAACTAGTGAAAATAATAACCAGATGAGGCAGGTTCTTATTCACCTGGTACCTTCAAAACAGAAGACTGTACACGTCTGTGAAGAATCACAGTGAGCAAACACAACTACTAATCTGTAAGCCAAATGTTCTGTGATATAAAATTTTACTGCCCTTAATCTCTATTAATCTATATTAGTTACAAAAATGACTAGCATTATCATGCATAATAAAAGAGATTTATATGCAAAAAAAAAATCTAGAAATATTTAGAATGACCTATGCGAGTGTTTTTTTTTTTTTGTTAGTTTAACACATGAAACCCATATGGCTGACAGGGAAGAGATCAGACTTCAATCCCTATCACCACCACCAAATAACAACCTCCCCCCAAAAATCCTACAATATTTTTTTGAGACAAAATCATGATAAAAAATTCAGGGACATACCATTATATAGTAGGAGAAATTAATTACTGTGCCAAAAAATTTTCTATCTTCTCCTTGCTTGACAACAAAACTGGCTGTCAATAGCAGACTCTCTTTTCAGAGCTAGGTTCCACAGCAGTTTACACTGATTTAAGGCTGGGTTTCTGCACTTCCTTCCTCCAACTACCTCTAATTCACTTCAGATTGAAACGTATCCAGTGTAAAGAAGGAAAGAGGTATATAACTATGGGATGGGGTCAGGGGGATAGGGTCAGGACCTAGCCAACTGGGACCATTCTTGGTTTAAACTCCAGGTTTGGTCTGTGGCACCTGACAGATTTAACTGCTTCTTCTGAAGTATTCAGAAAGACTGATAAACTCTTGATCAAACCTTTTTCAGATTAATCAACAGATCGCCAGAGTTTCATGTCAACTAAACCCTACATTTTTAAGCAGTGGCTGCACTTCAGGACCCACCACACCTGTCAAAAATAAGGATACAAAAGTAAAAGAAAAGAACTTCACAGATAACATTTACATGTTAAAGATTATAACAATTAAAATGGATGCCCACAGGATAAATATGTCCACAGGAGAAGTTGGAAGCCTCCATGCTACTGGAAGGCTACAACCTAGTTGCCATTACTGAAAGTTGGTGAGATGACTCGAGTGCAGCCATCAATGGCTACAGGTTGTTCAGAAAGGACAGGTCAGAGAGGAGGGGTGGGTGTATTGGGTTTGTGTGGCAAGGTTTAGGGTGCAGGTGATTGGGACTATACAGGTGGCTCCTCTGAGAAGCTGTCAGAAGCTTTCCCTATGTCTGATCCAGTTGGATCCAAGACAGAATCACTGCTGACCAAGGCTAAGCCCATCAGTGACAGTGGTAGTGCCTCTAGGGTAACATATTTAAGAAGGGAAAAAACAAGTTATTGGGCAGAAGCAAATTGCAGTCACAGAAGAAAGGAGGGAGAATATGTGAGAAAAACAGCCCTGCAGACAAATCAGTGGAGAAGGAGGTACAGAAGCTGCCCCAGGTGCCCAAGCAGAGATTCCCTGGAAGCCCATGGTGAAGACCACAGTGAGGCAGGATGTCCCCCTGCAGCCCATGGAGGTCTGCAGAGGCACATTTATCCACCTGCAGCCTGTGGAGGACCTCACAGTAGAGCAGGTGGATGCCTAAGGGAGGCTGTGACCCCATGGGAAGCTCTGGAGCAGGGTTCTGGTAGGACCTGTCAGACCCACGGAGACAGGAACCCATGCAAAAAGCAGATTTGCTGACAGGACTTGTGATCCTGAGGGGTCACATGCTGGAGCATTCTGAAGTTTCTGAAGGACTGCACATCACTGAAGGGACCCACACTGGAGCAGTTTGTGGAAGAACTGTAGCCTATGGGAAGGACTCATGGACAAATTAATGAAGACTGTCTCTTGCAGGAGGGAGGGACTCCACAATGGAGTAGGGGAAGAGTGTGAGGAGTTGTCCCCCTGAGAAGGAACAGCAGCAGGAACAATGTGTAATGAACTGATGTTAATCCCCATTCCTAATCCCCCTGCATCGCTGGAGAGGAGGAAGTAGAGAATCAGGAATAAAGTACGGGGTGAGGGGAAGGTATTTTTAAGATTCTGGTTTACTTCTCAATACCCTACCCTGATTTGATTGGCAATAAATCAAATAATTTTCCTTAAGTTTAGTCCATTTTGCCTCTGATGGTAACTGGTGAGCCATCTTTCCCTGTTCTTCTCAATGAGCTTTTGGTTATATATTCTCTCCTTTGTCCAACTGAGGAGGGGAGTGATAGAGCCATTTTGGTGGGCACCTGGCATCCAACCAAGGACTGCTTCCATTATTCTGGTCTAAGTCTCTATCCTAAATGCAAAACTTTATTATAGCTCAGTACACAGTACACAATATGTTGACAGTCAACCTTAAATATCTTCCTACTCACTGCAAGTCTTTCTAGCACCATGTTAAGAGACGCAGTCACCATAATTCTTTTACATCACAGCAATACTGAGAAGCTGCAAGAACACATTTTTATAATTGTGCTGGTTTTGGCTGGGGTAGAATTAATTTTCTTCACAGTGGCTGGTATGGCGTGTTTGGGATTTCTGCTTAACAGAGGGTTGATAATACAAAGATATTTTTGTTATTGCTGAGCAGTGCTTGCACAGAGCCAAGGCCTTTTCTGCTTTCCATGCTGCCACACTGGCAAGGAAGCTGGGGGTGCATGGGAGGGTGGGAGGAGACACAGCCTGGACAGGTGACCCCAACTGACCAAAGGGATATTCCATAACGTATGGAATTGTGCTCAGTATATAAAGAGAGGGGAAGAGGGAGGAAGGGGGCATATTTGGAGCGATGGCGTTTTTCCTCCCAAGTCACCATTACACAAGATGGAGCCCTGCCCTTCTGGAGATGGCTCAACACCTTCCTGCCCATGGGAAGCAGTGAATTAATTCCTTGTTTTGCTTTGCTTGTGTGTGCTGCTTTTGCTGTCCCTATTAAACTGTCTTTATCTCAACACATGAGTTTTCTGGCTTTTATCCTTCCGATTCTCTCCCCAGTCCTACCAGTGGAGGTGAAGCCATGACAATAAATGCAGTGTCTCCATTTTTTCACTGACACTACACATAAGTAAAAGAACTGCACATTGCAAGCAGAAAAGACGTCATCCTTGCCTAATTGGGCCGTCAGGTGTATCACAAGAAACAGATGAATGTTTGACAAGGTCCTTTTTATTCTGTCTAATTAAGCAGTTGGACACACCCGTCTGTTAATGGTATTGCTTTGTACAGCCGGTGCTTATTGCATGATGTGAATGTAAGCTAAACAGGCACCTTCTGAAAGACGACTAATTAACCCCTCCAAGTGGGAAAAAGATACTGTCGGGACCCAGCTGCTGAATGCAACAAGAACAGTATTTCGTCACTCTAATGGGCAGAATTTAGGCAAAGCTACTATGCTGAAAATTACTTCCTTTCTGTATATTCTGTGCAGTTTCATGTTGTCTGTTAAATTCCCTAAAGATTCTTTAAGATACCAAAATTCTCAGTTTGAATACTTCTGCTTTCTAGACTTGAAATATCAAGGCAGAATGGTTTAAGAGTCTAACCTGCTCTATTACTTATCAAATGAGATTTTATAATAAAATATGTCAGATAACTGTTCATTTTATTCCTGGACTACTTCACATTGAACTAATTTACTTTTTCAAGCTACCAGAGTTTGCAAAGTTTTGTTCAGCCACATATGCTTTATTGTCTAGATCAAATAATGTAGCAGGCTTTAATTCAATGCAGAAAATGAAAGCCTGTAATTTACTTTCAAGTGCAGCAGGAAATTTCTTTTTTCTCCTCTGGAAGGCTAAACAAAACATCACAGAAGGTAAACTGAACTAGATCTCATAATCACATGCAGTAATGGCAGGCTTTTAATAGCTGGAATAAAAGGCTAATCTCAAGATCTTATCTATTAATAATGATGAATAGCCAATATACTAATTAAGAATTTGCGGCAACATAATATGTTTCACAATAAAGGAAAACTTCTCAGAACATTAAGTTTCAAAAAGTAATACAAAATTATTGGTTCCTGAACAATAGTATAAATGGAAATAATTTTCAGTAATACACTAGCTTTACATAAGCATTCCTATTTTTGTACAAACAAAAATGTTACGAATAATTGCCTTCAAACAAGCTACGTTATGAATTTGAAGG